TTAATGCACTTATCGCAATGAAATGAATGGTAAATGGAGTTCCATATCAGTGAACCATATTCTGGTATTGGCCTAACCAAAGCCGTATAAAGTGCTTTGGTTACAAAAGAGTATCTGAATTCTGTTGGCCATTTTTGACAAATGCAATGTGAAGATGTAAGTTGAGTGTAATGTCTATCTCAACAACAATAAGATTTGCTCTAGATTACAGTTATTAATTATACAAATATATAGTTGAAAAAAAGTCCAGAGTGAAAGTAAAAATTTTTTACAATATGCCACTTACACTTAGGCAACGTTAAGACCTCTTTAAGCAAACGTAAAAGAATGGTCTAAATCTAAAAATATGAAATAGTTATAGTGATGAAAACAAGGATACCTAAAGGGGCGTGCAGGTGACTTGTTCATTTGACATAAAAATTATAATCAAAGTTTGCTGGAAAAACGGTATATATTGCACAATGATAATTTCTTCAGAAAATAAAAGGGGAATAAAATCCGGAGCACGCGATACCAAGAAAAGAAAGCAGAGAAGATGAAAATGTTTAATAAAAAAGTTCTGAGTAATCTTAAAAGTGTAAACCTAAGTGTGTTTTCAAGAAAGCTTTGAGTGCAGAAATAATAGTTAACTAACTGCAAAATACCTTGAAATAAATTATATATAAATTTACAGCTGAAAAGTGGAAGTAACCTTCAAAGCAGTGAAGGAATGGTCCACTTTAAGCTAACTCAGGCATCTCTTTGGCGCTTACTTGCGAAATTCCAAATGCTAAATCCATATAGTATATAATATATACTTAAGTATAATATGCCTGCTAAAGTATATATGACTATTTATATAGACATTCATGAGCATATAAGACGGTAGATGTAAGCAAGTAAGTGTATATATGTATATACACACATATATATGTACATGTATAAATTTATATCAACAGCATCAAATTAAAATGTGAAGGTCTTTGCACAGCTTAACGCTTAACGAGCACTAACTACTACACAGACAAGCGGAGATAACTATTTAACCAGCAAATATATATATATATATATATTTGTACTAATGTGCAGGTATGTTTATGTTTACACAAACACTAGTAATATTATTTGTAAGAAAATTATACGCTTTTTAAGCATTAAACGAATATGACACAGCGGCTCATGTTACACACATACATCTTATACTTATATATATAATATTTATGTGTATGCATGTATAAGTGTATCAGCAACTGTTTGCATTAAGTTAGTATTTTGCCAACATGCCATTAGTCCGGCTTCGTGCTATCAGTTGCTTAATTAAGTTGAATGTCTTAACTTGACTATCAACCCGAATCGCACTCGGAGGTCGCTTACTCTTATGACAGGCACTTTAAATGACATTGAATTAGAAAAGTGTACAAGTTTTAAATATAAGGAGATGGAAAGCAGAGTAAGAGCAGAGAATTCTTATTGAAAAGGCTTTGAGTGAATCTAAAAAAATTTAAAGACACAATTCGGGTAAAGATATATGTGAATTGTTGAATCCCATTCAAGACCCTTAAATGCTGAGTGCCCAAATATTAAATTTGTTTTAATATTTAATAATAATAATTTAGAGATATTTTAATAACATTTGCCTTTATTTATTGGATCTACTTTGATATTGGAAGCTTCACAGTAAGTAACCAAATTAAAAATGATAGCTAAGAGTTGGTTTTGAAAAGCTGTCCAAGAGAAGCGAGACCAGTACTGAGAAGTTGCTTTATGATTTCCAATTGATGTTTGGCTCTAAGTCGGCAATTATATTTCTAAGTACAGATAAAAATGCTCCACAGTTGCCATTGTAGCTGGAAACATAATGGATTAGTGATAAAAAAGTCGTATTTTCATTTTCCGTGCTGACTTATGAAGTCTCAACGATGGTTCAATATTTACAAGCGGGTTTAGATTTTTGCAATCTTTCTAAATCGATGTTTTAGTACAAACTTTGGGAGACAAGACGATGAAGTAATTTTCATATATTTTCCTCTTCGTACTTGTATTGCACTTTTAGCTTTTTTTTTTGCATTTCTCAGTCGAATTCACGCCTCAGGTGAGATATGGGCTTACAACTCAAACGTCGCTCATTACGGACCAAGAACTGAATCTATTGCTCTATTAGTTGACGTTGTCTTGGGAATTGGTTATCATCACTGCTATGGTGCAGCTGCGTTTTTTTTCAGTATCTATCATGTTGGTTATTTTGGGGAGACAAAATCATATTTGTTTTTATCACTTCTGATCATATTACATAATTGCTAACCTTTTGGGTGAGATTCCCAATGAATAGTCTGTGCATTATAATCACTTACAGCCAAAAGGCTTTCTCCTGGAGCTATGAAGAAATCACAAAAATATTTTTACTGTTATTTCACTTATAGAGTATCATATTAAAATAATTTTTAATATATATATATATATTTTTTAAATGCTGTTTTTCAAGTTATCATTTAATTTTAAGCAAAACATTTTAATATCTATTTATAACAATTTATTACTTATTTTATTCAATTTATTTTAAATTATCATTTTCTCAATTTTATTTCTTAATTTTTTTTAAGTTTTTATATTCCATTTCATTTTTATTATTTTCATTTGTCTTTTTTTAAATCGTTTAATCTATTAGTATTTATATTTATTTAATTTAATTTATCTAATTAATTTTATAATATTATGCTTTCGATTTTAATTTGTTTTATTTTATTTAATTTTGATCTTGTTTTCTCGTTTTTATTTTATTTCTTTTTTTTTTTTTAATTTTTTATATTATTTGATATTAATTTCTTTTAATTTAATTTATTTTATATTACTTTGCTTTATATATTTTTTGTTTAAATATTTAATTTTTTTGTTTAAATATTTAATTTTATTGTATTCTATATATTATTATATGCCATTTAATATATTTAAATTTAGCAAATTGTAGGACGCAAAAAAATATCATTTCCTGTGTGACAAAAATTAAAATTTTATGTGAATTTTATGTTAATTTTTTTTTTGTAGGTAATCTAATAAATTTCAGATTATCACAGGAAAATATAATTCCGACTTATTATATTTTCTAAAAAAACAAAACTAGGGTGTAAATATGCGCATAAATACATATACGAATGATTTTAATTTAGTCTAAGAATACGAACAAATAGCAACAAAGAAAAGAACATAGAAAGAAACGAGGAACCAAAAAAAAAAGATTGCAAAAATTTATTTAGGTGTTGCTTACATATCAGAATATGTACATATGTACATACATACCTACATATGAAATAATTTGCCACTTCTCACATGCAAAGTTTTAAACGTATGTATATAAATAAGTACTCTCAATTTATCGTGTCAACTGTTTGTTCCTGTGCAGACAATTCAAGAATCATTAATTAGAATTATTTAGGCGTACATGCAAAAACAAACCCACGTACAAGTCCATATGTCATGATCAAAATGTGTACCCAGCAGTAAAAGCATTTGCCGCCAAATTACTTGTTTAAGGAACTTTTATTAAAGTCATTTTTCTTATGCTGCGTGCTTTAAAAAATATATAAAAAAATACTTTTCTTACTAACTGAACTTTTGAATTTTTGCCGTTCAACGTTCTTTAGGGTAGTTATTAGAAAACAACTGTAACATTAGTACTAGTGAAATAAGAATACTACTTGTCTACCTTTAACCACACTTTTCAATTGGAAGCAACTAAAAGCATATCCATCTGTTCACTTCACAGTGGATATCTACCAATGTAAAGCGAATGTCTTCACAAGTGAAGAATAAATGTAATTGAATTGGCAACGATATATCGTTAAGAAGATTTCATCGCATGCAGTGAACGTTGAAAAAAAGTGGAACAAAAGTTGACAATTATTTCAAATGTTCTTCGTTGTGCGTGACTACTCATTTGTTTGCGAATCATATTATGCGGTTTTGTACTAATTCTTACTCACACTCACATCCACACACATACGCACTTGTATTTTGTGTTTTGATGTCAAGTAGCAGCGGATGACAACTATTAATTCGTAAATGTCACTCATACGCCAAGGAGGGCATGCATTTATGGTTGAGTGCTATTGTTTAGATATAAAATGGGTATTGTGTGCTTTTAATTTGCAGAAGCAGTAGCTTTCAAAGGCAGTAGCAGTTATGGTATACAAAGAAAAAACGCTAAAATGTGTCACTGGTTTAAACAGATTAATCAATAGTATCGCAAGCAAAAGGTCGAGTGCGTAAGAGTTCAACACTCAGGTGAGGTTGACATAGTTTTCTTCAAAAAAAAAAAAAATCTTATTAGAATCATCTTAGATTTCCATTTGGACAAAGCCTGATGCAAATTCTTGTATAATATATATTATTATAATTTAATTTAATCAAATATGGTGGGTATAGATGATGTATATATATTTTTCATTGGAAAATCGTTGCAAGTGAGCAAATATAAATTCTCTCTGCTTTTGCAGTCACTTCTTCGAGCAAACTAAATTTGATTTGTCAACTGCATCATTAATTTCGGTTTATAAGTTGATTTGTACTCAACGTCTATTACTAAAGTTTTGCTTAAAATTTCACGGCGTATACAACGCCAGTCTCGACTTGAAATCTCTTAACGATTTTTACGACTTAATTCCATGTGCCACTCTTTATGCAAATCACAATAAACATCACTTGACATAATAACAAAGCGGTATTTTTAGTGCACACACTTAAACATATTTACAGCACCGCCGTCTCCTGTGCCACTGGATTTGTGGCAGTCGACATACACACACACACACTCTTCTACGTGCAAGCATCTTAAGTTGCTTAGATGATGACTTGAAACTTTAATTGCTCGTGGCGCAGACACTTACCTAGCAATCAACCAAACCACCTTCTGGCCAAAACGACCAGATCTACTAACCCACGTTTACAGCGCAAATTTGCAGACTAACAAACAAATAAATACACAGCGAAATGGAGGCAGACTTGAAATAATACTCGTTGCTACTCACCACACCATCGCCAATGTGATGCACGGTGCAGGGTATGTGCGCACTTGCGCCAATTTGCGTCGTCACAACAGTCGAGTTCTCCGTGCCGAAATACATGGGCGCCGCGTATAGCTCATCCAAAGCGCCATTCATACTTTCGGCTGAGCTGCCCTGCGCCGCATCGGCGAGGCTGTTGTGCTCACCACCACCACCGCCATTGCCTACGCCTACCACTTTATGTAATGGGCGTGCTATGTGCTGCAGCTGTAGCACTTGTTGTTGCTGTTGCTGCTGCTGCTGTTGCCGATGTTGATGTGAGTGCCGCTGTTGATGTCGCTCATCAATTACATTTGCTGAATCAAAACTTGTTATGCTACTCCCACTTGTTTGATGGTATTTTTGTTGTAAACTCAACTGTTGTTGTTGCTGCTGTGACTGCTGTAGCTGTTGGTGTTGTTGCTGTTGCTGCTGCTGTTGATGTTGATTTTGATGATAATACGTTGATGAGGCCGAAATTGAAGAGGGCGGATAAGGCATATCTGATGAGGCGGTGTACGCGGCGCCACTGCTACTGTAGCTGCCACGAAAACTGCCATGACCGCTGGGCGTCAGCGTTGGCTGTTGCTGCGGCGCGGGTCCGTTATAATTATGATTCGTTACAATAGGGCCGGACATGCCAGCCGACGCGGGTGACATAATTAAATTTTGATTTATATTTCGGTGTAACTCATTATTTATGTTATCCTGCGTAACGTATGATGTAAGTCCTGCAAAGGCAGAGAAAGTAAGGAAAGAATAAAAATAAGTGAAAACACTATGAATAGATATAATAAATGAGCATTGAAATAAATGTCTGTAGTAACATAACTAAGTGGTGAAGTTAAATGAAATATGCTTAGAAGAAAATGTTAAAAAAAAAATTTAATTAAAAAGCCTATTTATTCCTTTGCACGCGTGGCTTAGCTGAACAAGCTGTAATATTTTATATTAAGCTATTTAAGTAAAATTCTTAATGCCACCAAAAGTGTCTGTGAGACGTCAAAATATTTTATTGTTAGCATATGATGAATTGCTCTTGACTTCATTGCAGTAAAAGGCATAATTGCCATCCAGCTGTAGGTGGTCAATGGAATTTTTTAATTATGAAACCAAGATTTATCTCTTAATAAATTTTTTCACACCATCTATGTTCAAATAAAACTGTAGCCGCCCAACAGCATAACTAAATGTAATTCACAACACGAGGATATTTTAAAATGATTAATTTTCCCAACGAAGTGGAGATTTTCCTCTTGTTCTCCTTTCTCCTACGGGAAGTGCATCGAAAATTTTTAAGGCTTGAGTATTCTTATCAATCCAGGCTACATGACCAGCCAGTGTAGCTGCTGTTTCTTGATTCGCTGAATTATGTCAATATGGCTGTTTATATCATACTGCTCACCCTTTCATTGGCTTCGGTATACGCCAACTCGAAGAGCACGGACGTTCATTCGCGTCATATAGCAGTACGGAAAAGATGAGGGACTTGTAGAGCTTGGGTTTTGTTCATCCGGAGAGGACTGATATTGATATCATCGTCGTGTCCTAGCACTTGTATACTCTCGGTAATGCTTGTAACCTCTCAATTCTGTACTGTTCTTATTACAGTTTCCAGCAGCGAATAAAGGATGTCACGCGATAAGAATTCACCTTACCTGAACCTCTGTTTGGTATCGATTGGCATGGAGTGGTCATTTGAAATACTGACAGCGTTTCTGAGGTTGTGCGGCGTCAGTGCATAGCTATATGAATTTTACAATGATACCGAAGTCACAGATAGTTGCGTAGAAGTAATTGCTATTCGTGCTATAGAAAGCTGATTTCATTGGAAAAAATTGTGGTATTTGTCGGTCCTGTTTTCATAAATCCTTTTAAAAGACTTGTTCAATGGTTAGTTTACCAACTTAAACAACCCGATAAGATGCATGCAATTTTATGTAGGTTAATGCCACGGTAATTAGCGCAGAGTGTGGGATTGCAGGTTCTTATCTCAAGCATGATTTCATCAGACTACATTTTATTATGCGTGCACCTTTTCAATTCTTAGACGCCGTACTTGAACATTACGGTCGACAACCCACCCGCCTACACAGATTTGTTGATCTCCAAGCGGACGATTGCTTTTCGAACATCTTCATTATTGGTATGTTGATCGTGACCCAAACCTCTATACGGGTTAATTACCGATTTTTGCACAAGGGTCGCTCACATTTCAGAGATTCACGACATGGATGCAAGATTAGGAATTACGCATAGCCCGACGGTAATAACTGAATATCCAAGAGCATGAGTACAGCCCATTATATCTGATGGGGCCCTCAAGTAATCGAATCTACTAACCATTGATGGAGAGTACGTTATACGAGGAACAGGCATAATTTTGCCGATTGTGCCCACATTCTATTTTTGGTCATACTAGACAATGGAAAGTAGAAGCATGAAATTGTAATGATTTCTTCTATAGTTTCTGAGACTTTCTTAATAATTATTTACAAAACTTTAGCAATTTTTGTATTCTTAAATATTTTCGTTGCAGAAGGTGGGCAGGAACTACAGTAACTCAAGCCTTCCTTGGGTAAACGCTTACATGGTTGCTGATGAACGAACAAATAGGCATGGCTAAATTGATTTGTTTCGTGATTCTTTGAGATCACATGTATTGTGTGATCTCGAACATTTTATGTAATCAGATATAACCGTCAGCTGAACAAATTCCTCAAGCCAACGCTTGGTGAAAGAGTTGATAAATTAGTTATTAAAATTAATATCCCATAAAAAAATACTTAAAAGTTTGTCTTATTTGTACCACTGCTTCTATTATGATTAATTTAAGGTAGAAAATACCAAGGTCAATGCCACCAGCCACTTGGCCTCAGACGAGCATTTAATATTTCAAGTATGTTTTCTTAATTTTCCACTGTCTACTTAAGCATAATATTTTCATTTCCATTCAGTGAGAACCCATAGCAGTTTATTTAATATTTGCATTAAACACTTTTTTATTGCCAGTTCCGACGGCGCAGTCACTATACGTATGTGCTAATGTGATTTTAATGTCACTCATACATAAGCAAATTTGCTTCTAACCACAAAAAATGCGCAGTCAGCAATAGCAATGCGGAGGAGAGGAAGAAGCTGTGCGCGGCAAGTTGACTGTCTGTTTAACTGTCTGCAGTACGAGTATGTGAACGTCGCCCACTTTGTTAGATTTTAAAACAAACATTTTAATTTTTGCCACCCAACATCTTCACTGACTATTTGCTTACACAAACACATACGCCAGAGTAAATGACATATAAAATAAATACAACCACATACATATGCATATATTTATGTCCTTGCTTGTACTAATATGCATGTAAACTCTGTTTTATGGTCGGTTTTACATTAGTATGTGTTAATTTATGTGTTTTTTGTTTACTTTACAACACGTAACATTATGTTTATGCTAATTTGCTCACAACTTACATGTCTGTTGCTGCTGTATATTTTATAGATATGTATGCATGTGTGTTAGTACATGCGTAGGTGTTTACCACATAAGTAGATTTTTTCAGTCATATAGTCTTTTCCTTTTTTTTACTAAGCGCATTTACGTAAAGCATAAGCATTAAAGCTTCATGACTCCATGGGTTGGGCCAAATGCGGTTACTAAAATGTTGGTGGTTGCCCAGGCGTATAAGTAATTACTTTTGACTTCTTTGTATGTATATAATATATGTAAGGATTTAAGCGTTCCGTAGAATTTGATTAGTACTCTCCGAATAAATGTTTTTAATATGCTTTTAATGAATTTGAAAATACTGCGTCGAATTTCTGAGGTACAGAAGTTTCAAAAGAAAATAAAAAAAGAAAAATAGTAAAATAAAGTTTTAATATATTTCAATATATTTCCCACAAATTATTTATTAGGAAATTAAATAAAAACTAAAGCTGCAAATAAGTAATTTAAGAAAAATTAAATTTGATTGCAAAATAGAAAGGAACCTGAACAAAAAAAATTAACAAGGCGTGCAGGTCACTAAAAATATTTTTGATTGATATTAAAACTAAAATTACTATAATTCAAAAATTAAGCAAAAATAAAAATAAAATTAAAAAGAAAAAGAAAAAAAAATAAAAATGAATATAAAAATATAAATAGAAGCTAAAAAACTTAAAAAAAAAACAGAAAATGAAAATATATATACATTGTATATAGAATAAAAAATATAACATAAACGATACAAATAATATAAAGCTACAGTATTGAAAATAGAATCTAAAAGTCAAAGTCAGAAGTAAAAACAATGTTAAAATAAATTTTAAGGCTGAAGTAAAAAAATGAAATCTTTTTTTTTTATTTCACACGGAAAAGAATTTAAAATTTATAATAAAGAAAATGCTAAACAAATAAATTAGAAAAAAGATTTTGAACATTTTTGACATATTTCCATTTTTTTAAATTAAAAACAAGTTTTAAGCCTTTCGTAGCGAAATAATTTTTTTTTTAGTCTTAGCGCTTACCTGGAGAAATTGTATGCATTTAAAACTAATTCAGTATATATATATAACTAGTATTAATATTTTTTTATTAATTATTAATTAGCTCTACCGCATATAGTATCGGCTTATTGGCTTATAAATAAGCATACTTTAAAAATTTAATTTATAATTTTCCTGATAAATATGTGCGCCTAATGAGCATCCGCTTTAGCAGCACGAGCGCAAAATAAATACAGAGCTTTATGCTGACTCATAGGAAAATAATTACTTTGCGTCTAGTATAAATCGAAATTAAGCATATGAATTTGTCTATTTTGCATATGTTATACTCAGCATGTACTACGAAGCCTGATTTGAATTTTCTAAAAATAGCTGGTAAATACAAATACGAGTATGAATAATTCATTAAAATGATGATTTCAGGTACTTATTGTTGATGTCGGAATAATTTAAACGAGAACAAATCAACTCAAATTTTCACACCCAGAAATAATTACATTTGAGATGGAAAAAGTTGGAAATCAAAGCATAAATGAAGTATTTCTATAAACCGAATTAACACTCCTTTCACTTAATTTGTATAAATTTTAATTACACTTAATTGAATGGAATTTACACTGCAGCCATTAAAATGACAACAAAGTATAATTATAATTTGTAAACAATTTTTAGCTACGAATTTTATCTTTCTCTCATATATTTAGGAATAATAAATAAATATGTATTTATAAGTAAAGCATTTAGTAACAAATTTTGTTGTAATTAAATGAAGAGCTTTATGAGCCTAATGTAGAAATTGACCTGAGCAGCATAATTGGACAAAGTTAAAAGCAATTTGGATATAAATATGCAATATTACGGAAATAAAACACAATCAATTTGCTTTCGAACCAAATTTCTTTGAATAGTAAATCATTGGCCAAGAGCTCTTCCCCTTTAGATATAAACTAGCACGATTTAGTTTATATCTAAAGAAGAAGAGAGGAAGAAAAAGTATAAGTGTAAACATTAACCTTAATTTAAATCACAAATGAATATGAAATTTTGTATATAATTATTATTATATAACACCATTTGATACGCTTACATTTATTTAACCTATCCTCAGGCCTATTGTAATATCTTAATGTAGATGAAATGTAATATAACAAGTGAAGTGTCCGATTATTAAATGCGTACATAAGTATATATAAATATGCGTTAAATATTTGATTATTTACGAAAGTTATAGAACTTTTGTAAT